GTTTTCCAACAGCATCTGCGACAGATGCACCAGATTTCCCTTGTCTCTCGTCCACATGCCAACGCAGATGGTGCCGTCTTTGCGCTTCTCCCTCTCGAACGAGATGTCCACGGAGGTGCCGGAGAACCGGTAGCACACCTGCTTGGCCATCAGCGCAGCGTGGGCGTGGGAAGTGTTCCGTTCGACGTACACCCGAACCGACATGGATGCCAGCGCTCGGTACGTCGACAGCGCCCTCTCAACGGTGTCCACTATCAGGTCGGCGTGCACGTCCAGCAACGAATCCATCCTGTCGGCGGTCGCAACGTGATGTTTCATCGACAGAATCTGCGGAAGAAGAAGAAGAAGAAGAAAAAAAGTAACGCATACGCACAGAAAACGGCAAGATGTTAAGCAGAGCATTTCATCCGATCGGATACGATCTGGAGTATCTGCGGGAGTGCAAACGGAGGTTTTTCCGATGCAAGTGGCGCATCGACGAAAGGTCGATCAGAGAGGAGATCTAAAAATCGGCAATCCCTCATGCGGAGCTGGTGGTGAGAACGTGCGGTCGAGAGTCCACGTTCGGAACCGATGTCACGGTGGACGATCTCGTTGGATTCAAACTGAAACGGTAGATAGCGGCTCACGTCGCTGCTGCGATGGACGCTGCCACGGTGAGGGAGATCGGATACGAACGCGAAGTGAAAGAGCTGGAGTTGATCATGCTGATGGCAATAGAAATGTTCAGGATCGCTTTCGATCCGGACGTCGGTTCCGAATACGAACGGCACGAGAGTACACAGAAGCGGTGGATAGTGCAGAGCATTCGAAACACGGTGCTGCAGTTGCTGACCAACACGTACGACCAACCTATGTGGCATTCTTTCGCGGCTTCCCCCCTGGCCGTGATGGTCGCCAAGATCCAGTGCAGCGTTCGCAACAGCGAAGAAGAAGTGGGACCGACCAAGATCGCGTACGTCGCCGGTCCGCGCGGTCACGCCACCGACACGCTGAGGAGATTATGCGAAAAGAGACGCGCAGCACGCCGCATACCTCCGGTCAGACTCACCTGTCCTACATCGCCGTCGCCCATCAGCGCACCGGCCACGATTCCGATACCGCTTACGTCCGACGGAGTCGGATCGACGGCAACCAGCAACCCGGAAGCGAAGCCGTGACGTTGATCCGATCGGCGTTCGTCCGAGAACAGCCTGTTAAGAAGACGCCCGGAAAAGAGACGCTCCGCCAGAGAGGAATGCGAGCCGACGGGAATGCCCATGCACTCCAGTTCGTAGCTGCCGTGCGCTATCAGGTTCATCATCTGCTGGACGACGTTACCGTCGCTTCCGTCTATGTGTTCGGGCACCAGATGCCGCCGATGGGCGCATACGGTTCTGACGCCTTTTTCAAAACAGGCGTCGCACAGATACGACTGCGTTATGTACTTGACCAACGGACGGCCCTCGTGTTTTAACGACACGAATTCCTGGGACCAATGGTCGCTAGAGGTCATCGACGAAGTCAACAGCACGGACACGTTCTTGGGCTGAAAGATGGGCAGAGTGGATATCATCGCCGCCTGTTTCATCCACGGGTATTCGTCCATCCATCCGAGGTCGCAACCGGTTCCTCTTGAGGCCTGGTGAGTAAAAGAAAGAGAGAGATGTTAGCACTTAACAGATATCTGAAATCGAAACGCTAACCATCTACCACGTTGACGAAATGCACACGTGCGTACCGGGTCGATGTCGTTTCGCGGAACCGCTGCACGACGGATTGCAGTACGTGTGCGAAAGGTCGCTCAAGATTCACACATGCACGTCCGACGAGAGTTCGTGCATCGTGCACAACATCGACATGAACACCAAACGATGCGCTCTGACAGGTAAAGAATTCTACGAGAACCAGTACGAAGCGGAGCACGTGGGAGAAGATATCGCGATGTTTCTGGGACCTAGACGAGAGATGGAAAAAACGCGAAGCAAAGACGGTGCCATGATACGGTTCAGGACCTGCATCGGCACGGTTCTCGAACGTCTTTACGACCCGGACAGACGCCGAAGATACAACTCAGAATTCTTTCGCAAGAGAGCGTTCGAAATCGTGCTGAACAGGATGGAGAACGAACCGGCCGTCGGACTGGTGTCGGTATTCAGGGAGACTTTACTGAGCAGCGTGTCGGCGGACAGACTGTCGGACGTGGGAGTGGATTCGGCGTCGACGCTCGAGGACGTCCGGGATTTCGGCGGCGGCGGCAGTTTGATCGATTTTCCTCTTGGCATTCGAGACGGTAGCAAAATTTGCTCCCGAATGCCAAGACGAAGAACGCATTAGATCTTCGGCAGCCAAACGCCACGACATGTTGTAATGTTGTTTTCTTACCGACTCTGTTTTATTTCTTCGGTCATTAATGTTATATTAGCCAAAAAAAAAGAGAGAGAGAAAGAAAATGTACAATGCGTCGACTTCGGCCACCGCAGCCGCCCCAACCGCCGCCTCCGCCGCCACCACCACAACCACCACCGTGCCGCGCGTTCAGAAAAGAAAAACGTCGGAACCGGAAGAATGGGATGATGATACGTTCGAAGGTGACGAATCGAAAAAGACAAAGATCGAAGTTACGCGGTATCGAAAACGCGTACACCAAGAGCTCGCATCGGCGACGCTGGACACGGCATCGCTGATGCGACTGATGTCGACGGCGTACAGGAGCGGATACAATCCGACCGGATCCATGATGGGACTCGATCCGCAGCTCGAGTGCACGGATTCGATCCCGTGTTCGCTGGCGCGTTCCTTAGCGCCACCGTCGACCGAGGATGCACGCAAGAGACGAAGACCATGTTCGAAAATCTGAAGGTGTTGATCGACTTGCTGCAGAAAATGATAGGCGAAGCCGAAATGTCCGAAACCCTCCGGGAGATGTGCGATTCGTTATTCCTCGGAGGTTGCTTTATGAATACGGACCAGTCGAGAAGATATTTTACGTTCAAAAACGGTAAACTGGTGCAGATAAAGACGATCATCGCGATCAACTCTTCGCAAAGGACAGCGGTCTGAACCAACAAGACTTCGAACGGCTCCGGAGGGCATGCACCCACATGTTGAACGTAGAGGTGGGCACGACGTACCGACTGATGAGGTACGTGAGCGAACTCAGAAGTCGCGGGTACGACAAGTTGCACTTGATTCTCACGTGTTTGGTTTTCGGACGAATCGCCAAGCATATCGGAGATAACGAACTC